CTCCTCCTCCTCCTCCCCCTCCTCCTCCTCCTCCTCCTCCTCCTCCTCCTCCTCCTCCTCCTCCTCACCCTTCTCCCTGCCTCTCTCCTTCTTCCTGCCTCCCCTCTGTGGGATGTTCGTGGGTTCCGGGGTCGTCGACCATCAATCCAGGGTGAGAGACCAATCCGGACAGACCCCCCCTGGTCTGGGGGCCGATTCCTCAGGGATTTCGTCGATGTTGAAGTGGCATTGGGTGGGAGGCTGGAGGAGTCGATGTCTGCTGGCTGTTTATCTAAACTGCCTGCTGCTGGTGCTGCTTGCGAACATTTTGCCTGCTTGTATTTGCTTGTCGCTTGCTCGCTTTCTGCTTGCTTGCTTGCTTGCTGGCTGCAGGGCTTGCTGCTTGCTACTTAATTGCTTGCTTGCTTGCTGCTGATTGCTGCTGCCGAAGGCATCCGAAAGCTGTAATGGTTCTCTCCTGGGCTAAGTCTAAGCCTTCTCACGTCCTCTTTGAGGCTTCTCGGGCTGCCTTGGAGCCCAGTCGCGCCTTCGAGGGGGTGTGAAAGGGGGGCTGCGGGAGGGGGCGTCGTAGGCCGCCCTGGGACGATCTTAAGCCGCCTTGGGGCAGCATTAGGGTTAGGTCGGGCATGTCCTTCTACAGGCTGATTTTAAACGAAAAACAATCAAACACAATCAAAACATGCTCAAAAATCGTCCCCAGACTATTTTTTGACTTTTTTTTGTTTTTGTTGAATTTTCCTCCTGTAGAAGGACAGGTCCGACTTAATATTGGGGCCAAGGCTGGAAATGTAGAAGCGTATGCGCGACTTATTTTCAACAAAACTCCCTCGCGGCCGCGGCCATCCCGAGAGTTCGAAGGATGCGCGCGGGCTGCGCAGGCTCGGGATTGGGCAGAACAAAACACTGTGGAGCATGCCCCCTGTGGCCAAGGGCTCGGGAGCACTCTCGGGGAAAACTCCCCGACGATTCGCCCAGTCAGACCGGAGCCGCTCCAACGAAGGGAGGAAAAACGAAGCGCCTGGGTGCCGAATTTCTGGGTCGCTGGCGCGATCCCAGAGCTCACTAAGGGACCTTCCATGGGAAGCCTCTTGGGGGCGGTTTTGAGAATGCCTCGGGGCTTCTCGGGGGCTCTCTCGGGGCCTGATTTGGGCCTCTTGGGAGCCTCCCGGGACTTCCGGGGGGTCTCTTGGGGGCGTGCTGGTGGTCTCGGGCGTCAGCTTAGGACGGAAGGCGCGGACTGTCCGGCCGAGTTCCCCTTCTCGGGGCCCGGCTTGGCCTCCGAGGCCCGCCTTCTGGGGGGCCCTCCTGGGCCGTCTTCGGGGCCCTCCTGGGCCGTGCAGGGGGGCCCTCTTGGGAGCCTGTTGGGCCGTGCTGGGGCGATCTTGGGGTCCCCTTGGGCCGCCTCGGAGCGTCGGGCAGCCCGAAACAGGAGAGCACGTCCAAGCGAGTGAGAAGCCAGAGGGAACTCCACGACTCCTCCTGGGAAGCCTCTTGGAACCCACTCGGGCCGTCCTGGGGCCCTGGTGGGCCGTTCGAAAGCCATTTTGGCGACCTCTTGCTGGAAGCGTCTCGGGCCATCGGGCACCGTCTGGGAGCCCGCGGGGGCCCGCCCGGGACGTTTTTCGCCACCTGAGCCGCGTCCTGGTGCCCACCTTGCTGGCACGCGCCGAGGCTGACCGTACACGAGATTGGTTTCCACCTGCACCTGCCGCATCTCGCCGAGCAGCTCAAGAGCCAGCCGCCACTGCCTGCCCTTCTCGCACGCGCTGATTCCGGCGCTGTAGCTGAAGATGTTGGGCTCCACCCTCACCTGCCGCATCTCGCTGAGCAGCTCAAGAGCCAGCTGCCACTGCTTGCCCTTTTCGCACGCGCTGATTCCGGCGCTGTAGCTGAAGACGTTGAAATCCATCTTTGTTAGAACCATGTCCCGTAGTACCGACAGAGCTTGCTGCCACTGGGTGGCCTTTCCGAATGCCAGGATAGTTGCAATGTCCTGGCGTGGGCTTGCTTTTGCACGTGATTGGGACGATTCGATGGACGGGTGCTGCGCCGCGATCCAAGGCTCTGTCCAGCCGCCTGTTGGAGGCCGCACTTTTTGGAGGCCACCTCGAGATCTTTGGCGGATGTCTGTCATACTGAAGTATATTGGGCAATGCTTTAAGACTGGCGTGGCCCCGACCAGGGTGTCTCTCCTGATGAGATGTGAATCAGGAAATGCCAGCAATATTCAAGGACCGCCAATTGACACAGCCTGATGGTGAAACAATGAATCTCCGAATAGCCTTGCGCCCAAATTGACTTGAACCACAATGGCTACGGACGTGTCGCGCCAAGACCGGTGCATGTGTACAGTTGGAGCCCCCCGGGAGAAGAGAGAGGGAAGACACGATACATGTCGTACCCGACCTCCCGCCGTATCGCGGCGTTGTGCGATTGACCGCTGGCCCAAACACGTCCACATCGGTATGATGGAGAAGTGTTCCTTGCAGTGGTAGGTGGGCGAAGGCCACATGTTCTACTTTCGCGGATGGAGATCACGGGCTCGACACCACAACTCGGGTTGAGGATCGGTCAGGTGAGAAAGGGGCACATCAGCATCGCCCCTTGGTTGGATCTGAGCGGGGAGCTCAAGAGCGGCGGTCGACAATCATCAACACATTCGATTTGGACGGAGGAGCGGGTTTGAAAAATAGAGCTCAAGTCACACGTGCCCAATTTTTCGGCCAAGCCCGGATCACGCACACACAATCATAATAGCCCTCCCCAGCACCAACCCAACATGCTTTTCGCCATGCGTTTACCTAGGGCCACAGGAGGCCCCCCAGAAGGTTCGGGCTGATCAACACGCGCCAGACGCGTGGTAACATGGAACATGTGCAGATCGTTTCTCGCTGTCGTCAATAAGCCGCTCTGTTGGCTAAAACCGCGCATTCCGACGGCCTTGACCCGAGTACCAAGCCTTGAATTTCAGAGCTGAAGAAAAGTCCTTCCCGCGCCCAGATCTCCGACAGCTCGATTTGTACGAGTCGCCAACCATTGGATCTCAAGCCCCCATTCCCCTGGACCCACTGTGCAACAATATAATCCCTTTGGGCGGCACTAAAATGCAGAAGCGGCCTCTGGATGTCAAGGTGAATAAAGAAGTGCGGCGCGACTTTCCTTTACCAACGACTGCTGTCAATATTTCTAGCATGATAAACAGGCGCACCCGCTGAATCATCGGACGACCTGGTTGCCCGCGGGCTGCTTGGTGCAACCTATGGCACATCCACTCGTGCAGTGTACGAGTTGGTTGCCCGCGGCAAGTCTGGCGCATGCCATGGCGCAACCTGCTGCAGAGGCTGCTCAGGGCCTCAAGACTGAGAGTGCTTTCTGGCGTGAGGTCGGCAAAGCTGGGCAACAGCGGCGGCAGCGGTACCCAGCCTTGTGGACGTCCGACACGGGGGCGCGGTGGGATGGGCCACGGCGGCCGCTTTGGCCAGCCGACGTGGGCCGCCCACTCTGCCCAGCCGACGTGGGACGTGCCTGCGGCGGGCTGCGGCGAAATGGATGAGAAGGGTGGGGTAAGAAAGGAGGGCGGGGTCCCCCCGTCCTCTATGCCCCTGTTTCCTCCTCCCTCCTCCTCCCTCCCCTGCCTCCCTCCTCTCCCCTCTCCTCCTGCTCCTCCTCCTCATCCTCCTCCTCTCTCCTCCTTATGCTCCTCAGCCATCCTTTTCCTTATACATAACTCCTCCCTGTCGCGCCACGAGATATCATGGTAGGGCTGGCCCGACGTTTTGCCTCAGACGCCCTCACCATTATGACCATGAAGCTTGACGTTCAAAGAACTACAAAATGGAGGGCGGCACCTTTTCGAACTGGGTCTCTCGCCTTAGCGCCGCTCACGTTCGTCTTGAACGCTTGCACAAGCTACAGAAGATCGAAGGCGGCACCTCTTCAAACTGGGGCTCTCGCCTTAGCGCCGCGCGCAGACATCATCGTGTCGAAGCAGGTGCAGGGATGGAGAACGGCTCGTTTCAAAACGGGGCCATTGGCTGCGCAGCTTCGACCAACAAGTGTACAACGGTTGCGCATATGGAGGACAGTACACCCTGCGAAATGCTTAAGAAATCATGGGTTAAGAAATTCATAGTCTCAGAACTTGAATAAAAAACCCAACATTTCCATTAAAATCTTAAGATTTACATTGAAACGTTAAGAATAATCGAGACTCTGGCCGAAAACTTAAGTTTTCTTAAGCATCGCCTAAGGTGTACAGTTTCAAAAGGGGGCTGTCGCTTCAGACTTCCTCGGACTCGACGTCAGACTTGTGGACCGCTGCACGGGTGGAGGGCCGTTGCCTTCCAGCATGGTGTTCTCCCCTGAGGCTTCCTCGAGCTTGGCGCCTGGAGGTGTCAGCCTGCGGGGGCGATGCATTTTCACACCGGAGCGCTCAGTAAGTATGCTTCGATGATTTGCATGGCCCTAGTATTTCGCATCATTTATGACCTACGTATGCATTCTTCTTATTCTTGCAGTAAAATATAATAATATTCTTGTTTAGAGAACGGGGCTCCCGTCTGAATGGCAACGCCATTACGTGCTCGTCTTTCGAAGGTTCTTCTGGTGCAGAGAAAGGCCTGCAAGCACTTCTTACGAGGGGGCTTGGGACGGGAAAATGTATTTCAGCATCGTTTGGGCATCCCAGGTTTTCCCTGGTCTTCCTCCGCCTCCTCCTCCTTCTCCCCCCCCTTGATCCTCTTCCGCCTCCCCCTCGGCGCGGACTGCCATGCGCGCGCGCGGGTGGTGGTGGTAGGAGAAGGAGGAGAAGGAGGAGAAGGAGGAGGAGGAGGAGGAGGAAGAGGAGGGGGAGGGGAGGGTGGGGAGGGGGGGAGGAGGAGGACCAGCGCTCGGCTTCGGGGGTTCTGGGTCCTCGGCGCGCCACGCCGAAACAGCAGCACTGTTCTGCCGAGTGAGAAATCCGCACGGCCATCGAGGGGCCTTTCAGCAGACCCATTTCGGGAGAGTGGCGGCCACTGCAACCTCAAGACTGCTGTCGCGGGCGGCCAACGCTCTGAGAGACTGGCGATAAAACTAGTCGAGAGGCACGGGTGGTCGGAAGACCACTTCTGCAACAACTCCGCTTTGGGGGTGTTGGAGTCTGAGAGCCTTAGCTTTCTGAGTTCTGGCATTGCTACTCTGGGGATGCCGTGGGCAATCAGAGAAAAGCCGGCCTCTGGAACCTCTGTGTGGGAACCACACCTGCTGCATCAAATCATGGTACTCAAAAATTGGTGAGGCACCCGAAGAACAAAAGCTAGTGTCCTTATGCATTTTTGGCGAGGGAGGCCATTCCTTCGCAATACCCTCGGCGCACCTCTTGAATGCGTTTGAAATGCTGGGCTTGGAGGAGGAGGCGGAGGATGCGGAGGAGGAGGATGAGGAGGAGGAGGAGGGGGAGGCGGAAGAGGAGGAGGAGGAGGAGGAGGAGGAGGGGGAGGAGGAGGAGGAGGAGGAGGAGGAGGAGTAAGACAAGGGCCTGGAAACACGGATCTGTGCCTGTGCCGTCCTGCGGAGGCGCACCTCTGCCAAGGCTAGGCCGGGCGGCGGCGGCGGCGGGGCGCCGGCCGCTGTCGAGGTGTGGGGAAACATCCAGACGGGCACCCGTCGATGCCGCGTGGCCGTGTCGGTGATGGCCGTGCTGTCCGACATAGCTGCGAGTGGACCTACAGTGGAGGCCAATCCACCAGAAGCCTTCCACAGGAAACCCAACCCTGAGGCCCCAGGACGTCCGCTGATTTTTGATTCTTGGTGTGGGAGCGTCGGTTTCCCAGAGGAAAGCCATCGAAACCCAGGAGGCCCAGGGCACCCTGGAGGCAAGCAGTGACGAACCAACAACACACACCCATACCCATAGGGGGATCGGAGAGGGCTATGGGTGCGTGTTGTCGGATGGGGGTCCCCGCTCGAACGGGAGCGTTCCCCAGGGTCCGACAACCCGCACCCATACCCATAGCCAGCCCTCCTCCCAACGACCCCCCTATGGGTCTGGGAGCGTGTTGTCCGTTCGTCAAGCAGGGTGCTTCTTGCCACGGGTCTCCGCTGCAACTTCTCGACGTCGGCCCCGCTCGCAGCGGCGGGCGCGGCGAGCAATCGAGGGCTCTGGGGCCCCTCTCGGGAGCCCCGAGATCTGGCCGAAGCCATCCAGAGGAAAGCCATCGAAACCCAGGAGGCCCAGGGCACCCTGGAGGCAAGCAGGGTGTTTCTTGGCATGGGTCTCCGCTGCAACCTCTCGACGTCGGCCCCGCTCGCAGCACGGCGGGCAAACGGGGAGCAATCGAGGGCTCGGGGGCCCCGCTCGGGGGCCTCCCGAGAGCTGGCCGAAGCCGGCGCGCGCCCGCAGGACGCCGGCCACGGCATCCCCAAGGAGGCTCGAGTCGGTCAGGATTTCAACCGCCGCGCATTTTTCTTAATCTACTTAAGCAGAAGGCATCTATACACGACGAGTGAACCTATGAGTATTAAGCAGAAGGCATCTTATACTTAAGCAGAAGGCATCTTATACTTATTTTTCTTGAACCATAAGTATTCCGACGAGGGCACCTATACACCACCACCGTGCCAGGCCAGGGCCATCCTGGCCCTGGCATGGTGTATACGCCCTCCTGGCCGAGGCCAGGAGGGTCTGTACACCATCCTGGGGCCGAGGACGGCCCTGGCCTGGCACGATGGTGGTGTATAGGTGCCCTCGTCGGAATACTCATGGTTCAAGATCCGATGCTTGGAATAATTAAAAAGAAACGCAATAAGCCAAACTTTTGGCGCTCCGCACGGGTTGCTTGGCTCCGCGCTGGGCCCCCACGGCGGCGCCTCCGGCGCCGACCCTGCCGCGCTTCGCGCGCCAGGGAAGGGAATCCAGCGCAGATCCAAGAAATCCGCGCGGAGCGCCAAAAGTTTACTTCTATGGCCTTGCGCAGGTAGCTCGGACACATTCTGCCATACCGTCGGCTGGCTCCTTGATCGGTTGGGTGGCAGGCGCCTGGCATTCGCACTGGTCGACGTTGCGTCCCACATGATACCCTTGCGATTCTACTTGCCCGTGCCATCGTTGACCGTCGCAATGAGAGGCCTCCATTGTATCAGTCGCTGTCGCGCACAGAACCCTTGGTAGCCACATTCGGTATAACACATTTCAAGATGTTTTGTCGCGCGCCGGATCGATTCTTGCCATGGCTCTATGACATCTCTGCGGGAGCTTGAGCTCGATGGCGCAGTGGTGCCGTTGCTATAACAGTCGGTATCGTTATTGTGCTGGTGGTGGTGCCGCAAGTGGCGGTCGCGTTGCTGCTGCTATTGCCGAATAGTGGCTGTGTGAC